GAGGGTGGTGGGCAGAGGGCGGTGGGCGGTGGGCGGCGGAGCGCGCGCGGCCCGCGGGCGGGTGCGTGACCGCGGAAGGCGCGGCGCGGCGCTGTGTGAATGGGCCGGCCTCGTAGTACGTCGGCGTACACACCAGCCCGCACGCTAGCCGGCAGCGGGCGCCCGCCTCGCCGCCGTGCAGACACGAGGGCGCGCCGCGCCAGGCGGCGTCGCGAAGGGCCTCGCGTGCACGGGTGCAGCGGAGGCAGCCGCCGGTTTGGCAACGCCGCTTTGCTCTCAGCCTTCAGCACGGGAGGAGGCCCTAAAGATAAACAATCCAATGACGTTTAATATAAACAATAAGTTCATTTCGAATTTGACTCCTCAAAAATTGCTTCCTTTACTTCCGAAGAATATTATCCAAGACGATAATGTAATATTGCTGTTGGTGTCAATTCATATGAACAAAAAAACATAGCACACATCATCTAAGCATAGCGTGTAAATGAAAAAAAAGTTAGAGTTGTATGGCGCTTAGGTGCTTACTGTAATAATTATTTACTGTACATGTTCGCAAAACAAAACAAAAAAAACCTACTGCTATTGACAATATACTTTTGTCATTTCATCTTTTCAAATAATTAATGTGAGATGTTTGAGTAATAATGATGTACATTTCATGGAAAGAGAGCAAGGCGAAGATAATTATACTCATCTTTGATTACGATAAAAATGCTGTGTTGCGGATTTCTTATCACACATCTAACGAACAGTATATTTTGATGTACAATAAAATTCGTAATCCAGAAACGGCGATCTAAATGAGATGTTTGTGGGGTAATTAACACCCTTTAATGTTCGCTTATAGCACCGTCAAACGCTACAAGCATCAACTACAGTTACATGGTTCTTGAAATATAACTATCCATGAATGTGCGTTTTCTCGAAAAATATTGTTTTCATTTTTACCTCATTTGTATGAAATGATTTTTTCATAATTTTATGTCTAACTTTCGACAATAAATTAGGTTGCTTATATTATTCCTGTTATTAATTAATGAAAAATGCAAGAAATTAAATGCTAAAGAGAAGGAAAGAAGAACCAATTCGTAAATATATGAGGCATATCGTCGGCAATTTCCTACTCATTCCACAACAAAAGCAGCATTTAACCTCATTCCCAGAGGGAGGTAGCGCCGAGCGGAACCGGATGCCGGCACGCGCGTCTGTCGATGGCCCTCATTTGTTTGGCAGTGGAGGGCGCCCTCCAGAGGCGGAGACCGCAGGGGCGATGTGGAGAAGGAGCACTTCGCTGAGGAAAAGTGGGAAACTGGCTGCACTTGACAAGGAAGAAGATATAAATAGGGAGAAAGATGGATTGAAGGAAACATCATATCTGAAGTGAAAGCTGCTATGTCACAGACTCGAGAACGTTTCATATAAATGTGTGTCCAAGAAAGGTAACAAGGGTTGGGGATAGCTTGGATTGATTGATTCGTAGTTCCGGCGCGTCAACTGCTAAGGTCATTAGTCCCGCTGGCTGGCGAGATCCGGTGCGTACCTACGTCGGCTTGCGAGGATTTCCCCAAACCAGCTATCTGCCATCAGCGAGGCACCGCCTCAGTAGGGACCGGCTTTAAGCTCCCGACAAGTGTGATAGTGTAGTGCATGTGAGAGTGTGTACGTAAAGGGGGGAGGATAGGACAAGGAACAATAAGGAAAGATCTTGCGCGGTCCGTGGCACATTTTTAGGGTACTGATCAGGCATTCTGCTGGCGTTGATCGGCGAAGCCAAGGAAAACCACCGATCAGAGCGGCTTGCCGATAGAATTATCCTCCATTCAGCGGTTGAATTCGACTTCGCTATGTGGCTAGTGTTGGAAGGTCTTGCCACAGTCGGGAATAGAACCCTAGGACGTCCCGGTCAGAGGCACCGCAGTGCCATCAGTTGCCGCACTGCCCCGCCTTTGCCGATGGGGAAGCTTGGACGTGGAGTACGACCGGCCGACGAGCGCCGCGAAATCCAATCGAGGCGAGTGGCAGCCGCGCGGGGCCGAAGTTTGACGGATCGCGGGCGATAGCGCGTGGGGCGGCGAGGCGGCCAGGCGCGCGCGTCGCCAGGTGACCCGCAAATTGATGAGTGGTGGCGTTCGCCGCGGGGAGCGCTGATCGATGGGTCTTTGAGAGGCGCCGCCGCTCGTTTATCTCTGGCGGCGCAGTTGAGGTCTCACTCGCCGCCCCCTCCACCGCCCGCCCGCGCCGGAACACGAGCCGCCCGGCGCCGTCCGCCTGCCCCGGGGCGCTTCATTAATCGTGCGCTCGCCCGCGCCCGACAGCTCCTCCGGCGTGTGGTGCTCGCCCTTCTCTCGCGGACACATCGAGCGGATTGCAGGTTTCATTATCTGGCCCACGGAATAGATACACACTTTTTATTTACATATTTCCTCATTTCAATCTAGATTTTTGAAAACCGTCAAACTCAATAACTATCATAGGTTCAAATAAACATGCTGATTATGCAGGTATGTATGTATTGCATTGGTATGTACGTATGTACTTTGGCACAACAGCTCTTTACTCTCTAAGGCCTATGAGCAGCGTCCCGGCCTTGCGGTCATGGGTTAATCGGTATTTGTTGTTAGCACATAGCCATCCCTATGCTGTTTTTCTGGTCTGATCAACCTGAGAAGTGAGCTTTCTCATCGTCACACAGCAACAGACTCGGGGACATTGCAAGGAAAGCGCACAATTGGGTTTGGTCCGACCGGGAATCGAACTTGGATTTCCGCCGGGGAAAGCGAGCTAACCAACGAGCCACCGAGAGTTACATGCTGATTAAAACAGTTAATTAATAATTTTACTTACAATAGTTACTCGAAATTTAGACTGATAGTCTATTTCTTCTCAAGTTTCTTTAATCCTAATATATCAAGAAAAGAGGTAATGTAAACCGTAAATCTACTATATTATCTAATGGGTCAAAGAGAACTTTATTAGTAGGTAGAACAATACTATTTCATGTTTATTTCTCAGAGCTAGCACACCTATTGACATAGTCCTTTTCAATTGTTTCGAGAAGAGCTGGAGTTGTGAGTAACGCCGTGCCGTGCCGGCCTGTGTCGGTTGCAGCCTGAAGCCGCCGCCGAAGGACGGCGTGACGAAGAGCAACCCCAGCAAGCGGCACCGCGAGCGCCTCAACGCCGAGCTGGACACGTTGGCCAGCCTGCTGCCCTTCGAGCAGAACATCCTCAGCAAGCTCGACCGCCTCTCCATCCTGCGCCTCTCCGTCTCCTACCTGCGCACCAAGAGCTACTTCCAAGGTACGGCGCTCGCGTTGCAATTGGTATACTATAATAATGTATTATACAATGCGTATTGATGACACGTTATTACATCGAAGAAACAATAATAAAGACAACAATGATATGATGCTTAATTCAGTATATAGTAGTGGACATAGTTACAACATACCATTAGGATATCTGGAATTACCTATAATCGTGACTTTACGGAAGTTATTAACACTCTTTAGCCGTTCTAAAATGTGAATTATTGGTTAAAAGTTCATATCCTTTTTTTGGAGCAAATTTAAAGATATTTTTGAATTTGAATATAATTTTGAATAGGAATTGAATTTTGAATAGGAATTGAATAATTTTGAATATAATTTGAATATAAATTTGAATAGGAAAAAGAACAGTTAATATGCGACAAAAAGTAAACTTTTAATGCACCAATAAATTGGAATATGAACCAATGAAGATGACGTGAGTAGATTGTGAGAGCAATAACCTTCTGGTAGCTTCATCACCTCCCATCTTTTGCCTGAGGTGCTATCTCTAATGACAGTCAGATCACCCGGAGATCGCTACCACTATTCTGCTACACACAGACGTTACCAACTTATGCATTCTTTTTAATATAAACCTCTCTGCATGTAAGGACAAATCTGCGCCTCATAAGAAAACCTCTCTGTCTTGTGCTCCGATTTAAACATTGTGTTCCTTTAAGGTCCCGACCTGGAAGAAGAAGTGGACGACTTAATGTGTGGTGTTGAAGCTCTCGATTGGGTGACAGCGTTCCCCTCTCCTTTCAGCTCGCGACCTTGAAGGGACACTGCGCTTAAACCGGGGTATAAGTGTGGATGACAGCTTTTAAAAAAAATGTAGGAAGCCATCGTCATAAGAGGGACATGAGTTTTTAGGTAACAGGTGACACCCTTGTTTCGTTAAGAGTAACTTCAAAATGCGAACTCTTTGAACGTGTTATAATTAGCGGGTAAAAATCCGTTGCTTTGTCGAGGTTAAACCCGGGTCACTTAGGCTGACAAATGTGTGTTCTAACCATTACGATGCCACAACCCTCTTTATAAAGCTATTTTATACTTGCAAAACAATGATTTACAAACTGATTTGTGTCCAGCTACTATACTAAGATAAAGCAAACAGATAATGTATTTTCTACATTTATATCACATATGTAGCAATGTAGCCCCACAGGCATAGCAGGACATGGAAAAATGTTTTTTTCTGATCAGATGGCCAACGTTCTCAACACGAAACGGCAATGCTGATATATCAGAGAACATGGTTGTTATTTTTTCACATTTATAGTATAAGTATAAATGATTTATTTATGGATAGCAGTTTTCTTCTTATCAACTTTACCGCGTCTACTTTCGCCAAATAATTTTCTCTAATGGTTCCCGGGCCCATAAATTCAGTGAGACGGGACAAAAATACATTCACATCATATTTTGCAAGTGGGCGGTCGTTAACGTATCCGCAGGCTTTCTTACGCGGGGCAGCTAACGACAAAGACTTCCGCCCATTGCACCCCTGGTGCAAATCGCGCAATGCGTCGATGTGGGCGGAGGCGTTGAGGAGGTTTCGTGCCAGCGGCGTGTGCCCCATTCTCGTCCTCTACGCTTTGCCCCCTTCCCCTCTAGGTATCGCTCTCTTCGCCCTGCTCTCACGCACATCCGCAATCATTGCGTTCGCTCGCATTCATTTGGCACGCTTCTTTATCACACCCAAAGATTTGTCCCCTTCCCCATTCACCTCGCCATCACACGTTTTCTCTCACATCGCTAACTCCTTCGTCCCGCCGCAACTCGTGCTGAACGTAACCCCAACAGCCCCCGTCTCTCTTGGCGTTGTCGCTTGCGCTCTCTTCCCTCCACGAATTCCTCCTTGCGGCCGGCTCCGCCCCCGCAGCCCCTTCCGCGGCGCCGCCCCGCGCCGGGGCCCAGCCGCTCGCAAATTACAGAATTCGTTTATTCGGGCGCGCCCACGCACGCGCTCCTTGCGACGAGATGTAGATTAGGAAATCATTAACTGCGAGCTACACGTGTTTCAAAGAAACGCGCGGAAGGGGGAGGGGGAGGGGCGGGCGCACCGCGAGTGCGGGGCAGCGATAATGTGACCCGCGCTGAAGTAGCACTGGGGAGACGGGCTGGGGGAACGGAGTTCGGGCAGCGCATTCAATAGTTAACTCAGCATGGGGGAATATGTCGGAAAGAAGGCTCATTGTTAGTTTGTGGCGGTGAATTTGTAGAGATGTAATACAACGTAACGAACAAGTGATTTCTACTGCTACTGAGTCATCGTGTTCTATTTTCGGATTAAAAATTTTTCATTGTGAGTAAAACCCGCAAGTAATCAGAATTAGTGAAGGGTGAATAAGTTATGAAGTTTGAGTTAAAATATTCGAAATGTACCATTTGAGGCAGGTATGTAATTGTTCGAAGAGTCAAGCTTAAGTTATTGAGTAAACAGAGGATCGGAAGATGATGGCAAAATCAGAGTCAATGGAAAGGAATTGGAATCCGAACTGAAATGACAGCGATTGCGGCCAGGGGTGCGGGGGAGGCGGAGACGATGGCAGAGGGCGAGGGGGAAGGTGGTGGCGTAGATGCGGATGGTGAGTGCATGAGGCGAAGGCGAAAAGGAGTCGAGCGGATACGAAGTGGAGCGCGAAGGATAAGGCTGAAGCGAAGCTAAGACTGAGGCTGAGCGAGAGACGAAGGCGAAGGCGGGGGCGGCGGTGGCAGCGGTTCTTGCACCCTTGTGCAGACGGACGCGCACCCGTGTGCTACGTCGTTTGACGCGCGTGCAGAGATTGAAGGCGTCCGGCGCGGCGAGGACTTTTTGCTGCGCGGAGCTTATCTGAGCGGGGGACGCGGCCCAAGGAAGTAGAAAGTAATTACCCCTGACTAGGGCCCCGATGTGAAACGCGGCCTATCTTTTTTACGACTTCGCTACAGGCGGAATCATGGTTTCCAAGATATACACCTTGATAATGCCTTGGACTCTCGCCAAACGGGTCAATGCATAACTGAAAACCGTACTCATTGTACTGTGAAAATGTGATCGCAACATATTTTTTTATTAATTTCTCCCAAACGAAGTATTGCAAATTAATAGTTAAACATTAATTGCCACTGGACAGAACCATGTGCATCAGGATTACATGGGTGAGCTGCCAAATTAATTTAATAAGGAAAGTGTAAACACATAAAACAGACACAGTGGTGTCAATACATTAGTACTGCTTTAAGTAAAGTTGAGACACTTAAGATTACAACGGAACAAATTAAAAATGTTCTGTTAACAGTATTGTTGGAATTAATGGGAAGTTGCACGTTTGCTTTTGCACAATATATCATTACAGGAAGGAATTGGGGGTACATGCATCCATACTTATTCTTCATCCACAGGAGAAATTCCCTGTTTTTAATTTTTTTATTCTTTTTTATGTGACTTGAAACTGCAAATCTTTAGATCGCACAGGTAAGCCTACATTGTTGATACCACAAGTATTATAAGCAGCAGCTTCCAAGCATTTTATGTCTTAATGTAGACAGCGTAATTATTATAAAGCTTATATTTTACTCTCGAGTGTGCCACATGGTGATAGTATGTGCCATGAGCTCAAAGGAGTTAAAACACTACTCTAAAAGCTAGATTTTATTTTAGATAGAGTACTATTTCTACACGTTTCCCTTTTCCTCTCTTTTTTAGGTAATCCATCTTAAAACTTTAGAGGCTGTATCATTAACGCTCACTGCGCTTCTTATTCTACCGGTTATTGCACGTGTGATGCAGATCGATGGAAGCAAAACTTTCTAAACTTGCCGTACATGTTTGCTTGCTACTTACTGACATGCTTTAGTACATGAACTGAGATCTGCCGCTAGCATGTTTAGATATTTTTGGGGAATATTTTTTGGAAGCTCATATTAACAAACCTTTATGACACGTCTAAAAATTTGGGCCAATAATAGTCCTTTTCTTCTATAATTAAACGGTCGTGTTCTCACCATTTCTAATGTTATACATATGACTTCAATATTACGTATCAATGTGTTTTTTAACAACTAATTTCTTTAAAGTTGTAATTTTCAGAGTTTTGGGGCAGAAATTGCGAACTTACGAACAACATTATATTTGAAGGAATGTAACAAATTTAATAATTATTCACGTTTGACTCGCCGATAATGACTTTTTAAATAATATTATCATTGAAATGTGTTATTCTTTACATTTTTCTGTGCATTGTAAATCATCTTGAGTTTCTATTAATAATTCTTTTCAATAAATAATATCGCAACAGTACATATTTTAGTATTGTCATTATTTGATAAGTAGCTAATAGCCATTGTTTCAAACAATTGGCACACATTTAAAGTAATAACAGAGAAAATCTCGTATCAACTTCTAAATGAAAATGAGCCACGGAATCACTTGATGGAAAACTATTGTGGTGAATAGACCGTATCGTATTCTTTATGAATTAAAGACGTTGACTCAGTGACACGTGTTCTGTTGGAGTTGATGGCATGAACCTCCGCGTCGTTCTTTCTCGATATGTCTGTTTTGTTTTGATCCATCGTCAGAAAGCTTCAATTCATCGATCTACAACGTAGGGTTCGCCACGCACAGAACAATGTGTGGCAAACGGAGAGATATATGACGACATTAAAAGCCAATCGTGAAGGGAGAAGGGCAACATACGTTAATGTGGAGCTAACGACGCCTCAGTCAAAGTACCGAGGGTTAGACGTCACAAAAACTCGGCACAAGAATGAAACTCGTTTTCTCATTGACGGAGCAAGATTATCTTCCGTTGTGGGACAAAAATGAGGTACAATAATTAATGTTGGTAAGACCATCGCATTAGTTATAATTCTCGATAACAATGTGAAAATCGATTAATCTGTCTGTAAATAGTTCATCTGGAGGTGGGAAAAAGCTACTGAGCAATTGAAACTTCTACAGAGGGAGAGTGAGTACATAAAATAAGTATGTTAATGAAAGGG